TTTAGATTTTAGACATATTTACACATTTATATTGATAAATAAATATATGCGTTCGACCGAAAGTGCACACATGCATTGACAAACAATTGAATCAAAACTAAACGATCGCTTAATTTGTATTCATTTAAATGATTTAAACTTTTTATTTTTTCCAAACAATGATAAAACTTATGGAAAGATTTGGGAATTATATTACATACAAAACACAAACCAAACAATAAAATTGTGCTAGAAGTGATGGTAATGACCATGTATATAAATGTTGCCTCATTCAATAGTGTTTTGAATGTTAAATGACTGGCACAGGCGACACATACTATGATATAATTGCAAAGTGATTGAAACACATATAGAGAAATGTGACCATTAAATGATTTAATGATATCACGAATATTGTGGACATAATTAAAAACCACATCAAACTTTACATTTTCTTTTTCATAGATAATAGACTCAAATTTTTTGGAAATTAATACACTTTTATATGCAATGAGGGATAGGATTGTTGTTTGTGTGTTAATTGATAGTACAAATAGTGTGGCTATCAATACAATTAACAGTGGATTAGTATTGACTTGAATGAAAAATTTCCAGCTTGAAATGATTACAATTACAAAGTGTGAAAACATAAAAAGCATTTGAATGATAACTAATGTAATACCGATTTTTCGCTCAGACTTTTTACAAATAGCCATAAATTCTTTAGGGTTTATGTCATTCAGTATTTTTGGGCCTTTGATTAATAGCACGATTGATACCATCAGCGTTTGAAAGCTGATTAATATTAATGATAGATTAAGCATGATTGATAACAAACCAGAGTGACCATGGTCGCTTTTGTCAGCCATCAGTTGTGTGACATTTGTTTGTAATGTTGTATTGGATTCGGTTTTGTGATTAGTGTTTAGGACAGATGTGATAACAACGACGGATAGTATTGAATACATTGCAATCAATGCAATGAATATCACATTCCAGACAATAAGTAAAATTTTTTTAAATCCATGAATAGTATTATCTATACTCCAACCCATGTATGCGTTTCCAGTGATTCTGTGATAATTCAATAGTATCTCTAAACCCGACAATTGGTTTGACATTTTTGATGATTCGTAAAAATAATTATCCACTTTTGTGTCTATATTATTGTAATAATTTAATGACAATTGTCTTGACATCATTGTTAAATTGTTATGTGGAAACTAATATACTTAAACTTATATTACATTCACTTAAATACTGCTTAAGTAAAGTAATCTCTTAACTAAAACTATTTGCTTAATTGTATTGACCTACAAGGATCCAAATCTATTTATATTTCTATTACAAAATATTTTTCAAATAAATACAACATCTAAATGATATATCTGTCACCAGAAATGTATACGATTTGTACTCAAATGTATTTTACCATTATTTGTATAAATAGTTTTTATTTGTTTTATTAAGAAGTTTGTGTCAAATTGTGAAACTTGTTTTTATATATCTATTTTGTACTTAATTTTGATGGATTTTATGTTGTATTTTGATTTGGTTTCCATAACACTATATCATATCCTTTGAATATTTAAAATTTAAATACATATCTACAATATTTCCTAAAATTATTTTTTATTTATATTTTATATGATCTTAAACGCATTTTAATGCAACTTTTCCTAAATATATAATACTAATGTATATAATTCCATGACAATTAATTATGTTTTAAATGTATTTTAGAATCAATTTCTATTTATATCATTTTATTTATAATAGTCTTTCCTAAATAAATATAATTTATAAATGAAATATCATATTCTGGTTACTATATGTTTATAATTTTTAATATTATAAATATCAATTTTGCACAACATATATTTTATTTTTATATGTTAAAAATACAATTAAAATTTTATATTTAGAAATATAATTGTGATAATAAAAGCAAATTAAAACATTAAATTATTCTAAAATATTCTAGTTAAATTAACATTATTCACCATGACCAATTGCCATTTACGTAATTACTTATTACAAATAGAGAATATAAAAAATAAGATTATTGAAGGATTTATTAATAAACTCTACTTTCAATGCCAACGGTTAGAGATTTGGCACATTTCAAGGGAATGTTCTTAACAATGGTTACGGGAACTTCTGTTTGAGGGCTTCGGACAAACTTAAACCTCCGTATAATGTGAGCCAATCCGACCTTCATTTCCATTAACGCGAACCTCATTCCAATGCAATTGCGAGGACCGGCGCTGAAGGGTAGGTAAGTGTAGGGCATTATATTGTGACGGTTTTCGGGTAGAAAGCGGTCGGGAATAAACTCTTCGGGGTTTGGATAGTATTCTTCCGAGTAATGGATAGCATAGATCGGTATTTGTATGATCTGTCCCTTCGGTATAGTAATCCCTGTGTCGGCCAACGGGTAGTCTTGTATAGCATTTCGGCCCACTTTAATGGTCGGTGTGTGGAGTCTAAGTGTCTCAGCGATCACTGCATCCAAATACGCGAGTTTTGTCAACACTTCGTAATCAATCTCTCCGTTTGTGTCCAACGAAGACATCACTTCTTCGTATAGTTTTTGCTGCACTTCTGGATTGAGTGCCAATTCATAGGAACAGAAGGCCATTGTATTGTTTGCCGTAACGTTTCCGGCGGCAAAGAATATGAATCCCTGGGCTATCATCTCATCCTCTGTTATGAATTTATTCGACGCTTTTATATTCAGTATTTTCTTCTCAATACCTGATTCTTCTTCGCCTAAATTATAAGTAATAAATAATTATATTTAACATAACATTAAATGATTATAATTATGTATTCAAACCGTCATCAATACAATTGGCTTCATGTCTAACACTCATCATTAGATCAATGAAATCATTTGATTTAGTCTTTGATTTCTCTCTTATTTTCAATATTTGTCGTACGATTGGAGAGAAAAAAGTGACTGACTTTTCATTCAAAAATGTCTTTATATTCAATATATTTAACGCAAACTCCGGTAACAATAGTTTCCAAACGGGAACTTCGATAATGACTTCTCCGTTCACTACAAACGGATTGTTTGGGTCTTTGAAAGCATCGCTTTTGATAGCGAAACCGCAGTTTGAGATGACATCCATTGTATAGCAACCAAACAAATCCTTAGCGTTGATCACTCCCTTGTCTTTCGCATACTTGTCTAAAGTGGTCGCAAACCCCTCCGCAGACTCTCTGACCGTCGGATACATTGCCTTCAATTTAACGGAAGTGAATACAGGAGTGGTTACCGATCGGACTCTCTTCCAGTCGTCGCCCCGGAGTTCAGTCAACATTTTGCCAATAATCGGGTGATTATTGCTTTTGGAAACTGGAAACCTGTCCTGAAATATGTGGAAATCTTTCACCAGAATATGTTTGATGAGCTCCGGGTCGGTCACCATTAATATGGGTTCGTTTCCGTCATATACCCTGTATATGACAATCATTTGTTATAATTTATAACTTATAAAACAGATATTTTGTTTACCCATAGATTTTGCCATATTTTCGTTGCCATTTGATATCCAATTCTGGCAGTGAAGTAAACAATCGCTCCCATAAATTGCCAAATATAGGCAATGGCCTAGGGCCTTTTACTCCCAATTTGGTAAAATAATTAAAATTCCTGGTCAAATACCTATAGAAAACACAAATAAAAGTGAGATGATATAAATAATTAAATTAGAAAATGTTTTCAATCATTGCTATTTTAAAAGTTTAAAAAACAAGTAAAATAGTTTTAGCCCAATTTCAAATCCCCTTGGTGAATTACCAATAAATAATTAAAATAATTGGTATAATGCTGTAGAATAGCCAATAATTTATAATCGTATCAATCATTGTTATAAACATGACAGTTTGCACAAGCTAAGTTAATAAATTTTATTGATTTTTAAATAAGTTATTACAAAATCCCCTCTATTTATATGCTAGTAAATTGAAATAAGTGTACAAACTTGTAAGTATAACAGTAATATTGCATGCAATTTACAAATTAAAAACAATAACAAATAACAAATAACTTTTAAAAATATAGTTTATCCAATATTAAATTTCTAAATGATTAATAGCTATTTCATTTGGAAATTAATTATATTTGTAATAATTTATAGTTTACTAAACACTTTATAAAGTTAATACAAATAATGTAGTTATTTTAAATAATCTTGTATTGCAGTTTGAAAAACAAATTGCCCACATTTGTTTTAATTACTTCATAGTTTTTGTTTAGTCTGTATATTAAATAACTCATTTTTTGATTGCCCTATTGCCCAGGATGTTTTTGCGATTAGGCGTTGTCCACAAAGTACGTTCGTACTTTTTTGTAAAATCTACACCCCTCCCCCGTATGTTCGCATGTAGTAGTCATTTAAAGAAAAGTACGTTCGCATATCTCTATTATCCCCTTCCCCAAGAAAACTATTTCTATTTAAAAGTAATATATTTATTCAAAATTTATTATCAATTTAAATAAAAACTGTTATCTTAAGCTGTTAAGATATTAATAGAAACAATTGTTAGATACAGGTGTTATCAAAAAGATAAACGCTGATAAAAATTAATCCCTGAAATTAATCAAATAATTTAAATGCGATCGTTCATAGATTCTCTATAGCCCCTCCCCCTTGTTTGCAATAGTTTGCTTTGGCCGACACCCCCTCCCCCCAAATGCGAACGTACTTTGTGAAAACGCGTTATTATATATGTTAATGGTATTTGTTTAGCTAAGATTATTTATACAGATAATGGTATTTCAGTTCTTCGAACAGATTTGCATAAAAAATATTTTATTTATAACTATTGTAGAGAAAATTCTAAGAAATTAAATCCAGAAAAATCAGATAACATGAGAATATAATTAAAACATTGTCTAACAAATAATTCATATAAAATCAATGGCAAAATTGTGTAGAAAACCACAAACAGATACTGTAATGTAAAGATACAGTATAACATATGCAGCAGTACTTGACTTCACTACTTTACTCATTAACTAATATAGCTACTGTATAATAACTATTTATATACTTATTTTACATAATATGTATAAATAATACATAACTTTCAAGGAATGGAACATTCATTAAAATTCTTAACAGTAGAATAAATTTAGTGCAAAAAAAACTTTTTTATAGTTGTATAAAATTATTCAATAATTTACCTAAAGATATAAGATGTGAAAACAATTTTACTAAATTTGTAACCAAGCTGAATAATTATTTTTAATACTCATGTATTTTTTAAGACAAGTTCTTAATAAAGAATTATTATTATATTTATTATAAATTGTGTTTTAATTTTGAAATGAAATAATTGCAACTAATAGTAATCCGACTTTAAAATCTAGTACAGTTTAATATCAGATAACAATACAAATGTTTTATTCATAATAAACAGTATTTAATATCATTTGTAATTGAAATGACTTTAATAATGCATTTTTTATTTTATTGAATTGAAATTCTCTCAAAACTCGATAGAAAACATGTTAAAAATACAAATAAATAAAAAGTTATATTAAACAATATAATTGCGATAATAATTAAAAATTAATAAATTAAATTAATTGTAAAACATTATAATTTACATGGTAAATGTTATAATTATCAACTACCCATTATTTAATAGCATTTACATAATAATTGAGATATTTTTTGTTATCTAAAAATTAGATAAAATTTTAAATGCATTTATAAAATACGCGAAATATCTAAAAAAAATTTATTTTAAATTAATATAAAACACATTAATTACACAAACAATTAATTAAGTTAATAAACAAATGTTAAAAACGATGATATCATAAGATGTGGTGATATATGAATACATAAATTAAATTAAAACACTATTAATTAAACGCCATTGAAAACCATGGGTTTGTATTGTTTGTGCAAAAGTGTATTAAAATGAGAGTCTTTTCGGTTAATCAACTCTTTGGGTGAACCACTTTCGGCGATGAGTCCGTTGTCCACAACAACAATCTTATCGTAATTCAATATATTAGACAACTTGTGTGCTATACTAATGACAGTCTTATTAGACTTGTGTATCAGATCCAGTATCAGTTGTTCCGACTCTTCGTCCAACGCTGAGGTCGACTCATCCATAATAAGTATCTGCGAGTCCCGAA